TTTGAATAGTATATGTTCTATTATTATGGTTTGGGGAAGTGAATTCTATAGAGTAGATTCCATACTGTTGTGTTATGTTGCATATATCTTTTAGATAGTGATCTATGATTTGTCTTTTGATTTTTACATCGAGGAACTCTGTTTTACATGGACTGATTCCGGGTTCAAATAAATTTACGAGTAAATTTTGACAAAATATGTGTTGTCCTCTATCAGTATCTGCATCTACTATAAAAGGAAAGATTTCATCATCATCTGGGGTTTCGTCACCTGGGGTGTGCGTTGAGCTCATTTTTTCGTTCGATGACTGTTAATATGTAATTATTAATGTGTCGAATTGGTTGATTCCAATTGTATAAATGTACTGGTTTGTGTTTATACTGCTTTTTTATTCTTCTTTTTCCTCTTTTTGATGAATTTGAAGTTGTTTCTGAGTCAGAAAAATATAGTTGATCGTGAAGTGGGCAATTTTTATCTATTGATTCTTTTAGTTTGTAAAGTTCGTCTAAACTGTTGGTTTCTGATTCTGAAAATGCGTTTCGATTTTTTGAAAATCTTTTTCGTGTTATTTGTCTTTGTTTAGTTATTATTTTCCTCTTTAGTGTTTGTCGTTTTGTGCGAATGTATCCAACTGTTTGTGTATGAGGTGTGATTACAAGGTCGTATTTTTTGTTATTTATTTCACAATTGTGTAAAACGATTGTTTGTTTATTTCCTAGGTTTTTAAATGACATAAGGTTTAGAATGACGGATGCAAAGGTTGTTAAATGATTTTTATTTTCTTAAACTGTTAGTTCTTACGATTTTTTGGTTAGCTTAACCTGGGTCTATTTGTTCAGGGTTGGAGAGAAAAGTATATCGATTCCGAAGAATGATTTTTACTTTCTCGTGACTAGTATAAGCTAAGGTGTTAACTTACTTAATCTTACTTAGGGGTAGTGATTGTGTTCAAGGGTTGGAGAATAGTAAATCGATCCACAAGGTTCAGGTATAATTAGAACGCGAGTAGTTCGTTAGATACTATTTTAAACTTACTAAGTCTAAGATTTATCCTGGGTCTGGTAAGAGGGGGGGTCAAGTGAAGGATGAATAACCGAAGTTCTTCACTATTTATCCTAATTTGAATGATTAGTTTTGTTTAAAAATTTCTATTAGTCTTGGGTCTTTAGAAAGGGTTGGGTAGTGAATCGACGTTTGAGGTCGTTAGACACTAATTAAGTGGGTGGGGGAGAACAAAGTTGTTCTGTTTGATCCAAGGATAAGCCTTGATGATCAAATTTAAAATTTAATTAAGTAGAAAATGATTTAAGATCCAAGGATAAGCCTTGATGATCTGGTTTTAAAATTAAGTGAATTTAAGTTTTAATAAAATTTTAAATGTGTGTAAAGGAAAGATTTAGTGTTTTGATGATGTTAGTGGGTTTATGATTGCTGTTATGTTTTAGATGATGAAGCTGGAACAACAGGATGATTTATGATTACTAACCAATTATTGTCATGCTACTAATTTTTATTTTTATTTTCCAATAAATATTTTTCAAACATGTTTTGTATAATACTGCAGAGTTTTAGGAAAACGATCTAAGATCTTTTTATCAATTGTTATTGTATAATATTAATTTTGTTTAGCGCCTGAAATGATTTTGAAGAGTAACTTCAAGGTTTTATGTTTGCAAATGGAAATCTAAATTCATTGCAAGTAGTATTCGAAATATAAAAGTTTGTTCTGGCTTTTGCCGAACTATCATATAACTATACGGCAAGTTTCTACTTTGTCGTATGTCGTCTTTGGTTCGAGGTCTTCTTCCAATTCCGGGTAGTTCTGTTATGGTTCGGAATATTGGCTCTGATCTATTGAGTCGGAGAGACATTTCAATTAAATTATTGTCGTATAACATTTTGTAAATGTTTTTGTCTAATTTCTAATCTATTTTTGGTTAATTCTAATCTAGTAAGGTCTTGTTCGAGACTTATGGTCGCACCAGATGAGTTAGGACTATTGTATATAACTCATAGAGTAATTTCGGATAGGGTACACCGTCTGCTCGTCACGCTATCTTATTTTCGGCCGGATAGATTCGTGCAACTTCTTAGTCTAATACCGATCCTAATCTTACTCTTATACTATCTAGTCTCAGGTTGTTTAACTAGTCTCTGCTAGGCTCAATAGATCTAGGGTATACTGGTTTATTGCGGCTGCTGAAGTGCTCGGGAGAGTCCAACTAATTTCTAAGTTAAATTCAAATCTCTCTGGTGCTGAAGTTACAAGTAACTTCAGCACTTACAAATAAGTGGGTTGTTAGTTAGATGGATCATGATTGGTTAATATTAAATACTTTACATTGGTAAAACATTTAATTTATCCAATCATAAAATATAGTTTAGATCAGGTTCCACCGATCAGAAGACTCTTTCCTACTTATTTATCCTTTTTCGTGAAATTTGGGACCAATTGAATGCCTAGTTTTTTTGCCAATTGATACACAACAGAAAAATGAAAAGGGCGTCAGCAATCCAAAATAGAAATGTAAGAAACAATTGTTTTCACGGGCATTTTTTAATCTCGTAGATGTAAAACAAGCGTGGTATAATCAGAAGCTCAGGAAATTGAACTCAAAGGAAATTGATTCTTAAAAAGGATTATTTGGCCATGGAAATATCTGGAGATTATATACAGAGCAGTTTTTCGTAACGAAAATATCCAAAGATTGAGCAAATTTCATCAAATAAAAGAATTAATCTGAAATTGCCTCGAACGGGTTCTTTTTTCTATTTTTTGATATATGTTTTTTTTTTACAAAACATGAGCCAAATGCGTTACAACTGCGTTTTTTGTTGAGCTTATACAAGTTTTCCGGTGACTTCAATGCCCGGATATCCATTAATTACGATCAACAATAGTTGCACTTGTTTCATTGTCACCTTTTGAAAAGTTGAGCTGCAAAAATATCCGTTTAGGTGTATAACCGAAAAAAGAAAAAGACCCAGGTAATTGATCAACTGTGCTCAGCGGATGCGCGCATAGGGGGGTATTAGCTTTTATTTTGCCAGTTTCTATCTTCAAATTCAACATTTCGCCCATTTTCTCGTCTCATCATACTCCAAATGCCAAGTTGGATTAAAACAAACTGGTTCAAATTACATCAGTGAAATTACACTCGGGGAATTTAACACCAAGAGCATTCACCCGTGAAATAGTTTTACCGCTCCAATTTGCTTTAGCTTCAGCTAAGTTATCTCACCTAGGGTCATTAAATTTCACCAGGTTTATCAACTTATCAATTTCAGTCAGATTGGTTACTTCGAAAAAATTCAAAATGAGTATTGTTTCCAATTTATCTAACAATTCTGATTATTATTTTGATACCGAGCTTAGTTTCATTGATTATTTAGTAATTCTGTGGTATAAGTTTTACTTTTTATGCCTTGTCGTTGGCTTTTTTGCCAATATTTTTGTGTTATCGCATATTCTGGCAGACCGTTTGTACAAAAACACAAATTACTTTTTCATTCTTAATCTCGTTATTATCGATTTAACAGTGATAATCGGCATTACCATAATCAAAGAAATCATTCTAGCTGTATCAGTTGAAAATTACTTCATCCAATGCATTCCGCGGGCTTGCAATTTTGTGATCAATTTTACGGCCTCCAATTACATTTTACTGTTCCTGTGTTATGAAAAGTTCATTATTATCAATTACACCTTTTTGAAACAAACTTTTCTCAGGTTAATACTGGTAACACAATCTTGTTTAAAACTAATTCAAGTGCTGTTCAAATAGTGAATATAGTTTGATTTTTGGACAGGGTTGGCAGAAAAAAAACAACTGGTGTTTAAAACATGTTTTAAACATTGTTTTAAACAGGCGTTTTTTTTCACGTGTTTTTTTTTGTGTTTTTTTTCAAGTTTAGGTTTGAAATGGATTAACTTCACACATGCCTGCGTAGAAATTTGGAAGAATTTACTTGGTAAATTTCGTGATATTGGACCCGAAGCCAGAGAGTGGCTAGAAAAGTGTGAAACCCGCTACGATTCATTCTGATCTGAGGAACAAATTGGGACCAGAGAAAGTTGGGAAACTTGCTTTCTGCATGAGATTACTCAAAGATAATTGAATTATTTTTGTGCATTTTTTTTCTCTCGAGAATATAGAAAAAAAACACGTTTTGAAAAAAAACAGTGTTTTAAACGTTTTTTTTGTTTTAAACGTTTTAAACGTTTTTTTTTCTAAAAAAAAACACTTTTTTGCCAACCCTGTTTTTGGATCTACCTAGCAATCGCCCTCCCTTTGGTATCTACTTAAGAATTGCCACCCCTATTAATAAAAGCAGTAAATAGCACTAGAGCTTTATATTTAAAACTCGAATTTTGCTGCAATCTGATTGGTCAAAAATGCGTTATTTTGATCTACTTAACAATTGCCCCTCCCCTTTCTTAAAAGGGGGGGGGGGGGGGGGCAATTGTTAAGTAGATCCAGATTTTTTAATAGCCCATAAACTTTAATGGATTTTTTTTCGGTAAGCATGTAAATTTTTGTTAAATTTTTGAGCCATATAAATAGTTCAAATGATCCCGCCACCAAAGTACCTGGCAGCCATACAATTCAACCATGTAAATGCTGTATTGCTCTAATTCAGCTTTAGAAAAATTTGTAACGACAAAATAAAAAAGGAACGACTATAGAGAAAACAACTATAAAGACTATATCCGATTAAACGAATTATTTACATGTAAGTTTTCATTGTATTTTTGAACACCTATTCATAGTCTTTTCCGCTTCAATTCAAATTCATTGAAGCACTTAAATATTCACTTAAGATATAAACAAATACAACTCAACCTTTTCCATACGTTTGTTAATAGCTTCTACGAGCCTAATGAAAAAAAAGCTTCGTTCCGATTCCTAAAACTTCATGAAAAAAGTTTAAGGAAAATTAAAACTTCTGAAATTTCTAAAAAGCCAAAAACAATTCTGAAGTTTTTTTCTTCATTTCAGCATGCGAGTCAAGGTCATCTTCACCCTCACAGTGTACAGTTTGACAGTGGCAGTGGCTCTGTTGAAGTTCCACACTATGGATCCCAGAGGTAGGGACCGTTAACTATGGCCATATAGCCAAGAGCAGCTTTATTGGGGTCTCCCATTCACTCAGGAGTTTTACTCCCTCACTATCCAAAGTGTCCTGCTTTTGGAACTATTTTACGACATCTAATTTTCGGTCCAAGAATCATCTAATTTTCGGAACAAGAATAGTCGGTTGCTGTGCAAGTAGCGCAAAATTTTCCGACCGAACTGATTTAAGAAAAAAAAATTAAAAACAAATTTTTTAAAATCAAAAACAGAAATTAAAAACTTTTTGCAAGCTAATTTTTGGGCTCTTTTTCCTTCCCCCCCCCACCTGCAAATTTTTATATTTGAAGTTACTGTTCGCTTCTTCCGATTGTCATGAAAATTGACATGCAGACTAATTAGGCCATGACAAACATATTTGGTCTTCATAATTAACCTTGAAAAACCACTCGTTAGAGCATAAAATTCATGTTTGAGTGAGGTGGGGGGAAAAGGAAAAAGAGCCAATTTTTGCGACTCAAGACTTTCAAGGTTCTCTGCGTTTATAATATGTGTTTTTGTTCATGGGACAACTGAGACAACTCATGGGGGGGCAAAAATTACTCTAGTTTTATCATTATGGGGTGGGGCAATACTTTGCTGGGGGGGGGGGGGGGGGGGGGAGTGAGGAAAACTTCTTTTCTTTTTCAGGGATAACTGGTTTGGTGGTAGTGACTTTGTATTACGGAGAGGGCTAGGAGAGGGGGGGGGGGGGGGGAGGTGTTGGAGTTTGCTGACGACTATAATGGGACGCATTTTCCGTTTTTTTTTCTGTTATGCGGCCCAAGATTACCAAAACCTTGATTGAGCAAAAATGCTTCAAATGAGGCTTCAGATTTTGTATGGTATTAATCAATTTGAACCAATCCGATTCAAGCATAGTGATGAGTTTTCACAACACCACAACGATGGGTCTTGTGCCGTATAAAAAGAGCCAAACTTCTTTTTCTTTCAGGGGGCAACTGATGCAACTGGTCTGATATGCTACTGTTTTAGTACTATCTGTTTTTTTCTGCAGTTGACAACAGTTTTGTAGTAGTGATTTTGTGTTGCGGAATGGGCAAAGGGTGAAGTTGTATTACGGAGGGGGTTAAGGGGAGAGGTTGGAATTCCGTACCTTTCTGTGGAACGGCTTGGGGGGGCGGGGGGGGGCTGAGGATGTTAACTTGGTTCTAAGTTGGGATTTTTCAGCCAATCAGAATCGAGCATTTTACATGCAGCGCTTAGCAAATTTAATTTAAATTAAGCGTTGGGGTGGAGGATCTTAACTTGGTCTATTTGGGGGGGGGGGGGGGGGGATGTGATTCCTTCCTGTTGTTTTTGTTCAGGTGACAACTGGTGCACTTGATCCCTTCCTGTTGTTTTTGTTCAGTTGACAACTGGTGCACTTGATCCCTTCCTGTTGTTTTTGTTCAGGTGACAACTGGTGCACTTTTGCGTACCCGGTGGTGTCGGAGTGGGTGTCTGACTTGTTGGACATGTTTGTCTTCTTCGCCACTCCAATCCTCATCCAGTTCCTTCTCTATCTCTACACCTTCTACAGTGCAAAGCGGGTGAGTGGACATTACACAAAGGTAATAGCAGCCAATCAAAACTACAAATGTTGTCAGCCAATCAGAATCCAGTGTTCATATATTCATAGGAAATAAGCGATAAAATCAGTCATTCTCGGACAGTTTAAAAGGAGTTGATTGGCTGAGAATTTTGGCGGATTTGATCTTCTGCGCATGAGAATAGCCCTCCTCTTCTGGTATATATGTGATTCATTATAACCCCATAACCAATATTTTTTGGGTTTTAGCTCCTATTTAAATATCATTTTTTTTGAAATAACAGCTAGACCGGAATGGAAGCTTAAAAAAAGTACCGAAACTTAAGGTTTCACTGCCAAAAGGATCATGTATGCGTAAGGCTATATAAGCAACAAAAAATTGACGCTTTATTAAAGGGACTCCTATTTGAAAGAAAACAAAACTGCTCATATTCTGGCGAAGCCCTGATTGTTCTTCTAAGGTCTATGTAGTTTTCATTTTAAATGCTTTTTTTGAGGATTTCTTAAATGAAAATCATTCCCTCACACGCTATGTAAAGTTCACCACGTCAAGTTTTTTTGCATAACGTTATTAAGGTAGCTCAGGACAACGATAACTTTTGGCTGATTCAAGTTCTGTCAAAAATAGCTTGTTAAAGCGACGAAAATTGTCTGAGGAAAAAATACTCCGTGCACAAGTACTCGCTCGCATTTTTTGAAGGTCAGAAAAACAATACTGCTCGTATCAAGACGAAGTATTTAATATTCAGACTGCTCTCTATGGTCAATCAAAAGTTTTTTATTTGAAAATATTTAAAAAAAATAGTTTTTTATACGTTTTTACTGACTCGTTTTATCCCCACAAGCTATGTAAACCACAAAAAGACAAGTTTTGCGTAGGTATACATATTATTAAGAGCAAACTGATTGCTGTAGTGTAGTTTGAATTTATTTAATTTGCCGCCTACTCTTTTATGGGCGAATTATCTTGCGCGTTAATTATCCCAATTCGAATTATGGTTGTCAAAGTTGACCTAAAGTCAAACCCCTACAGTTATTTTGGAAAAAAACCACAGGTGAAAAAATTTTACTTAAATTTGCGAGCTCTAGGTATCATAATTTTTCAGACTGATTATAAAAATTTAGTCGATAATTATTTGCTAAAAAGCAAAAATTTATCTGAAAAAAAGCAGCCTGAGCAAAAATATCCGTCATTTTTTAAATAAAAATTGGAGTAAAAAGAGAAAAAAAGAAAAATAGCAAAAAGGAAAGAAAAACGAAAGAACATATTTTCTTCTTCAAATCTAAAAATATGACAAGATATGCAATGATCAAAGGTTTTAAGTAAACCATCAAAAAAATGGTCTGCTAGACATCAGAAAACGTTCTCACAAAAAATTTTCTTTTATCAACACAAAGACTTGAATGAACCGAGTGCCTCTTAGTGCCACCAAGTGTAAAGCCGCCCCTTCAACCAAAGTCATTAAATGAGTACTCAAAATTGCCTTTTTTTTAACCGTTGACAATTGATTTTAGAATGGTCTCTGAGCTTAACAACTCCTTGCATAGTTTCCTGGCACAAACGAAAAGAAGAAAAAAAGCGCGTACCAATTTCTCTAAATATGCTACAACCGTATCTTCGAAACTCCAAAAAAAGCTTGCTTAAAGTTATATATTGCAGTTCAAGGAAAAATATTTTGTAAAAAAAATTGAAAAAAAAGTATTTTGCTATGTATACTGAAAAGAAAAAATTTCAGACCAGTTTTTCTCGTCGTTTGTGAAAATAGTTTTTGGGAACCTAATAGCAGCCAAAAGCTTTTGACAAACCAAGACAGCCAAGACCATGACAGTATATTTTGTACTTCACAGTTTTTTGAGGTGATAACAAACGGGTTGAAAACACCAGCCAAAACACATAATTCAAGATTTTCCATGATCTTGGAAAGACTTTACAAGATCGATAAACTGGGATATGGCTGTTTCCACTAGCAAAAGTGGGACAAATTGTTGAGTTTCTAAAAAAATTAAATGGGGTGTTTAATAGGTGTCAGGACAAAAGATACCATACCAAAAGCTTCCATGATCAACCGCTTAATTTTCAGTTCTCAAGTTCTTTGTTATTTTATTATGGTATCTTATGTCATGGGCGATTTTAGAACGAGGTATCTTTTGGAATGGTATTTTATTAATTGGGATCTTTAGGCAAGGGATCTTTTGTCATGTAACCGTTTAATATATCCACTGAAAAATCTTGAAAAATTGAAAAGTGTCTCAATCTGAAAACAAATACATGCAGCGAATGTTTTACCCTAAATTTTGTTGCTGACAATTGGCGCAAATAGCTTGGTAGAAATTAAGTAGAAATTAAGCTACTTTATCATTAAAACGCTGGTACGTTTTTTCATCCTGCTCAAAAAACGAAAAACAATCAAAAAACGTTTAAAACATTCAAAACATTATTCAACATTCAAAAAATTGAAGCAAATTAGAATATCGAAATCATACGTTCCTAGATGCAAGAAATGTCCCATCGTGCTTATCTTGTATTTCTATCAAACAAAAACGTCAGAAGAATCGAAGGGCAGTTAAAATATTCACGGTTTCGCTGCCAGATTCCAGCAGCCATACAGTCATGATTTTTGATGAAAGTAACGGAAATTATCAGCCTGGGGTTTTTTATCTTTGGGAGGGGGGTTACAACCGGGGGTTACAACTAGTTTTATTGTCTGTACTGCTTTGTTTTATTACTAATATAAATATTTTGACCAGCTCACAGCGAGTCTCAATCGTCCGCTGCAGGCGGGACTGTTGTTGTCGTCGTCAGCTGCAGCGACCAACAACATCACATCATCATCCGCAATTACACACAATATCAACACAGTCAACCCCTCATCATCCGCAGGCTATCAACTCACTCTAGCCCAGCCGAACCCCACCGATGCCAATTCAGGTACTTAAACACAACATGCGTTTATATTTTTCTCTTTTACAGTGTTGCTTCCAACTCCCCGTAAAATTACAATATACCCCGTTGTCCAAAATTTATTCATATTGCAATTTTTCTTAGTCAATTGATTGAAATCCGTTCCTTTTGTTTTACACTGACGTTCTTAGCTTAGACTGGTTAAAGCCAAAGTCTTTTTTATATCACTCAGTCAATAAAATTTCAGTGAAGTTCAAATTCTAGACTCTCTACGAGTGTTTTTGTAGTAAGGGCAAATGGAATAATCCGATAGTTCATAGGAGATCGACTATGGTGTCATACTAAAGCGCAAATCAGTCTTGATTTGGATTCCAACAAAAATCAGTATGGTTCTATCCTTTCAAAAAAACTGGTACATTTTGTTTGTCCGTATCAGTTTACCGTTTGGGGATTAGATGAGGTTCCGAGTTTCGTCGCCGCGGGAACATTTCGGCAGTCGATGAAAAACGGTAATTTGCAATGCTCTAGCATAATCTTATAAAATAACTTTAGAGTATGTATTTAGGCGAGAAAATTATACGTATACAGTTAGTTTATGAAACTGCTGCTACAGCCAAACTCACCAAGAATCATGCAAAAAAAGCTAAAAAGCTTATCGAGACATGACGCTGAACAACCAGGAGATAAATTACGAGATAACATCGAACTTGAACCTAGCGAATCAAAAAACCAGTCTATTACATCGGCGTTATCTTTGGAAAACAAAATTACATTAGATGATGCTCTGTCAACTGTTTAAACTACCTGGTATCAAATTATTCGATTGCTAAAAAGTTAGCATTTAAGGGAAATATTCTGCCATTACCGCTCAGTTATTTGTATTGATACTTTAAAGTTAGGCAATGTTTCAAGTACAGAATCTTGCGTAGTTTGTCCCATTTTCAGTGACTCCAAGTGAAAAATATTCAGAGGGTTTTTGCTAAATTGTTTAATTGTTTTGAATTTTCTGTAAAAACTAGTCTGATGTGTAAATTGATGACAGTCTTTATGTTATTTGCATGCAAGACATTTTGCGTTTAAAACATTTTTTTTTCAAAAAAAAAACGCTTTGGTCCCACAAAATTTTTTTCTAAAAGACTTTTTGTGGTCGAGCCATGCAAATAATGATTCATACGATTTTATTAATTTTGCATAGCACTTGCAAAAATTCAAAATTTCAGATTTTGAGACAAAAGACTCCTCTACCCATGAGTAGCAAACCATTTTAATGAGCTATTTTACCGCAAACGTAATCATTACGGTTTTCAAATTTGCTCTGTTTGTTGAACTGTATTCCTAGATACTTGAATTCAGAAAACTCAGAAATCAAACTGTTCCCTAAATTTTCCTTGTTTCACGGAATTTCTTGTGTTGAATTTCTTGTCTTGAACTTACAGAGAGAAATTTAAAGTCAGAGATCTTTGGGTTCAAAGAACTGTATAGTCTCGATATGTACAAATAAAGCGAAAGAGAGATACAGAAACTTCGCAGGTAATCCGGTGGAACATTTTCGAAAACTGTCGCAGATTTTTTTGACCCCGCTTTGACAAAGTTTTGACAACTCAACAAAGTGCCGCAATCTAAATTTTAATTAGAAAACGTAAACCGTATATGATATTTCAAAATAAAAGTGTACTTTCTACAACCCACACTCTAAAAAGCTCTGTTCTAATACTTAATTCAATTGATCAGCTGGAGGGGCAAGTGGGGGGTGCAATAGTAACAATCAGCAGAATCAGAATCAGAACCAGCAGCCGACTCCATCAGTGTACCGACCCAGCAGACCGAGACAGCAGCCGCAGCTGAAGATAGCCAAGATGTGTCTGGTGGCAACTGCTGTCCGATTCCTCCTCTGGCTGCCATATGTGATCCACCTGGTCCGACTGTCCATCCGACAGGCCACTGGACTGGCTCGAGAGGGGGACGTAAGTCATTATAATAATTAATAATTTCGTTTTAAAAGCAAACAGACTGTTATATTTACACATTTTCAAGATGCGAACAGAGTATTATTAGTAAAACAACTCACAAAAATGAAAAATTCCATCTTGGAGAACGCTAAAAAGGCCAGTTGGCTGCCTATTATTGTTATCGCTATGTTTTTTTTCCATAGATAGGCACTCGATAGGCCTTTTTGGTGTTGTTCCACCAAAATGGGTTTTGTTATTTTTTATTTAGAGTATTCGAGTGTGTTTCAGTTTTTTTTCCACGCAAAATCAGGTACCACAAATAATCATGGGAATGGGTCGAGTGATATACCAAATCGAAACCCTTTCAGTCGTGATTCAAACGACATTAGAAAGTTTTCAACAAAATTTTCTCAGTTTCGAGAAAAAGTGGTTTAAATTTTAGTTTTTTACTTGAATTTTGAGCAAATAGGGCGAGCGAGCAGGCTTAGAACAGCCTATTTATGCTTAACTTAAGCGCTGAAAATTAAGCTTGTAGCAAGTAAAATTAAGTTGCAAGCAAAAACTTCAAAAAATTTCAATAAAATTTCTGCAAAAGAAATCGAAATTTTTTTAAATTATCTTTTGATTTGCTTGTTCTTCTAGTCATTTTTCTACAAAATTTTTTGTCCAAATGACTGTCGAATATGCCTAATTTATAGTTTTTTCGTCAGATCCTTTTATCACACCGAGTAGAAAACAACACTAATTTGAAAAAAAAAATTTTTTTTTGTGGTTTTTAAAAGACTATGGTCGGAATATTCTGTGTTAATTGCAATGTAACCGGCTACTCTTGTTTTTGTGTTTCTGTTTGCTTAGTTCTTTAAATTCTTATTGTTTTTTGATTGTTTTGTTTTTTGTCCAATCACACGAAATTGGTTGTTCCAAGTACGAATAGGGAATTTAATAAAATATATACTTTCTTTGTCATGATTAACCCCCACTTTTATCGCAATCAGGAGAAATAGACATAAAATTGCTCTGTTTCAGCGTTCTCGCGGGGAGAAAATAGTGGACATGTTTCTTCCCGATCTCACTATCATCGCATCCTGTACCAACCCGATAGTTTTCATCGCCATGTCTCCCCCGCTCAAACGTCGGCTAGCCGCGCTTTGTGGCACAATCCGCCAGTACTGCTGCTGTTGCTGTCCCGTCCTTCGCTCGTGCTGCTGTGGCGAAAGCACTTCAGGCGTCCCGGGTGCCAACGACGAAGGAGTCGCGGTGAGTCCTATATCTCAGCCCCCCAGTGGCCCGATATATGGTAATGGCGCTGCGGGGAAGTTAGCGTCCAAGGGGCAGAACATCGGCGACAATGCGAACCCAAGAAACACGAGAGGTATATATGGTCGAATCCGACGACAAGACACGACGTCCACCGAAGCTTCTCGCTTCTCGTCCGATACTGAATCAACATTTTCGGACCGTTCAGCGAAAAACATGGTAGTTCCGAACGCCGAGTTGCAAACAATCCGAGAGGTGTCGGCTTCTCCCGAAACAATCGGCAAGCACCGACCAAGAGCCGAAACGCGAGGAGCTGGAGACGGCGAGATTCGAACCGGGGTTGAAAGCGATAGACAATCAGAAAATGGAGAAAGTGCGATGGATAAAAATCAGAGCAAATCTCAAAATGGAACAGAAATCCGAGAAAATATCAAGGCCGAAACCGGTATTCCGTCGGAGGAACAACCGAATGACGACGATTGCGAAACAGAGCACGACGATAATCGTACAACCTATGTTTAGTGTGATTTTTATCCTAATTTCTCATAAAAATCTATACGAAAATAATTATATTATAGATGTCGAATTCCAAAAAAGAATTACTACTAGATTTAGTTTTCTCTGTTTTCATCATATTTATCAAATAATTTTAATTAGTCCAAATATTTATTGAATATTCCATTTTGATGCCCAAATTTGTGAAATTTTCTGAATTTGTATGCTTTGCTTATATCAAATAAAATCGCTTTAATTTTAAATGAAAAATTTTGCTATCTGACTTCATTCTAAATGTTGCATTAAGTTGATGTCTAATTGAAATTGATATAAGATGCTCCTTTTTTCAAAATAAAAGCACCCATAGCCAATAGAAATTTTGAATTTTCTCACCCGCGCGCTCCCTTTCCTCTTCGCAACTCAGCATTACATACATATCAACTTATCATGTAACTTTTCTAAGTGCTGCTGCCAACATTTTTTCATACTGATTGCTTAATCAAAATGTGGCTTGTGAAATATCAAAAATTGTGAGGGGACAGAAAAATGATCAAATCAGGCAATTTATATTCGAACTTTTTAAAAAAATTGACGAATTTTGCGGATTTTGCGTGTTTTTGCAAATTCCTGCTGGCCAAAAGCTTTTCGATCGCGTTGAAAAAATGTCAAGAAATATTTGAAAACTGAACCGACTTAACTCATAAAACGCTTAAAATGGTCAAAAAGGATGAGAACGCCTTTTTTAGAATGTTAAAACATCCGCTCGGCCGTTAGTTCTTGTATAGCATTAAATTAACGTCAATCATTTTCGTATCTTTTTTTTACTATCACGCTATTTGAGTGACTGTGAACAACCGCAGTGTACTGGATTTCCGGTTTCTGCGTTGCAATGAATTCTCAAAAATTTTTGCCATTTCACAACAAGTTTTGTGTTCCGACTATTTTCGAAGAAAATGACGGAGTATTTGTGCTCGGGGTGTTTTTTTTCTCGAGGCAAACTTCGCCTTTTTAACAAGCTACTGTTGACAATTTTTTTCAAAATAATTCAAAAGATATTGTTGCCTTGAGCTCAAATTTAAAAACATACTCACCTGTGATCATTTTATGTTAAGTCATTTAACGCGCGATATGTGTCGTCCCATTAACGCATAAGCTGAGATCAGGGGTCCGAAAAATTAATTGGAGTCCAATTGTTTGGCAATTACTTGGTTCAACTACTTGATTAACCGGCGTTCACCAATTATTTAATTGATTGGTGAACAATCAATTAATTGCAATCATTGGAGTTTACGAAATGGAGCGGAATGAATCTCGCTATTCAACAAATAATTGCTGCAGAAAAGCAGCAACTAACATGACGCAATTTTTCTGTGCGCCAACAAGCAATTTTGAAACGAGGAGTAAGTTGCCAGCATCACCGCATGAAATTTTTTCTGAGTTAGTTATTTAAAACAGACAGTTTTAGGTGTTTACAATTATTTAACGGAAAAAAAACATAGTTTGTGTTCGTAAATACGATTGAATTCTTGTTTTACCATTCTTTCTTTCTTCTAAAATAAATGCAAATCAGTTGCAATTATTAGCAAAAATTGATTGGTCTTGGTGCCCAGTTACAATTAATTGATTGGTACACCAAATTACTGATTATTCTTTCTCCAATAAAATTTTTGGAACCCCTGGCTGAGATTCAATCTCTCTTAGAAATTGTTCCAAATTCAACTGAGGCAATTCATTCTATTTTTATTTCACTATAAGCAAAAGAAATCACCTTTACACTTGAAATTGTCGAGGTCCAAACATCACATCATAAACCACAGCAGTTTACGCAAAACTGATTCAAAGCAAGCTCTCACAGAACCGGTGTTTGTCTATGAGACAAATTGTTCCTTTTGTTTTTCAGAACGAATCAAATGAGAACTCTTTTTTAGTATGTTAAAAGATGACATTGCGGGTGACTCGAACCTACGCTGGAAGGGTCTATTTAATTTTTGGTACATTAGCTTAGGTCGCTCGTCAATTAGTTGCTGTATAGCCTTTATTTAACGTCAATTAATTCGTTTTTTTTTACTTTCGCGCTACTTGAGTGACTGTGAACAACCGCAGTATAATGGCTTTATGGTTTCTGCATTGCAATTAATACTCAAAAATGTTTGCTAGAATTTTTTTGCCCTTGAACACTTTGTTCCAACTATATCCAAAGGAAACGACGGAGTATTTTTGCCCGAGTGGTTTTTTCTACAGAACAACTTCGACTCTCTAACAAGCAGCTTTTGACAAATTTAAACATCATCCGAAAGGTATTATTGAACTGAGCTCAAATTTAAAAACATATTCACCTGTGATCATTTTATCATTTGGAGAAGGCCAATTTGGCCAAGTTAGGTCAATTAACGCGCGATATATTTCGTCCTATTAACGCATAAGCGGAGATTCAATCCATCTTAGAAATTTTTCCAAATTGAACTCAGGCAATTCGGTATATTTAATGTTTCGCTTAAATCAAAAAAGAATCACTTTATTCTTTAATTTGCGCGTGTTGAGATGAATTTAAAAAAAAACTGAATCCATGGACCTTAAAATGTAAGCGGAACATTCAAGGTTCGTCCTGATACAAGCGGTCGTGTTCACTTTCAAAGGCAACTTGAGGAGCCCAGCTGCGAAACCAAAACAAGACTCAATTAAGAGTTTCAACGAGGAAACGCTGCAGAATTCTGTGACGTTCTGCGAACTTTTTTAAATAGCCAAAACAAGTTTGCTTTTATGAATTTCGTAGTCGAAAACAATTGCCTTCATTTTCTGTAAAAATCATTTGTTATTGAATTCTAAAGACAGAAGTTCAAAAAACATTTAAAGTTTTTTTAGTCGAAATATGGGTCCGGGTGGGTACAGTTCTGTTTTCATTATCGATGCTGATTTTGCTGCTGTCATTTCAAGTAGGTTTCTCAATAACAAAAACTTTACATAGTCCAAAATCAGCCGTACATAGTTTTTATAAAATGATTTCAAAAAATTAAAACAACTAGATAACATCAAATGATTGCAATGAAAGTACATGTTCAGTGAGCTTCTTTTGCATATGATTGACATATGTTTGGTTTTGGTGAAAAATTTCGATAAAAATATTGAATGGAAATCAATGGTTTTGGTTCAATCTTTTGTATTTGTTTACTCGTTAATTTGAGCAATTTTGCGCAGACAAATTTAAATAATTTTTCAAACAAATTTAAATGGCAAAAATTCGAGAATAGCTGCCGAAAGAAGGGGCCTTTTGCTGCATGTTTGGTCTTTTTTGAAACGTTTCGACCCAAAAAAAGCAGACCAAAACTTTCTATTAAAAATTTTATAGCGCAAAAACGGCTTTGAGTCGCAGAAAAAAAGCTTTGTTCAATAAAATGACACAATCTGGATTGTGGTGGGGATATGATACGAGTGGACTATCCTCTACAAGACTGTTAAGGCTTACTGATAGCTCCTCTGCGATTCTCAGAAACCACATAATTATAATTATTATTACTTTTGCGCTTGAAAAAAAATTTCAAAAATTCCACTTTTTCATTAAAATGGTTTTTGTATATCATTAATTATAATAAACTTGCTGAATTGTATAAAAAAACGTTAAGTTCAAAGTTTCCTAGAAAAGTATTATAAGCTTTATAAAGTGCGTCCGCAAATCTAGGGAACTTTCGCCAACATGAAATTCAGCTGTTTTTGAAGAGATCTTTTTTGTCAAGTAAAACTCCCTAACGCCTCAAAAAACTCGAAAAAAAACTTGATATCCAAAATCAGTTTAGACTGTGTTGAACTCTGTTGATTGAATTTAACAACTTATTATATTTTAATTGTCAACTTTTTTTGCAAAACATTAAATCCTTCATCAAAATTGAAGTGCGGTTAAAATAATCCAGGCAGTTCATAACAGCTTATTGTTAGAAAACAGTCAAACAGTTTAACAAAATGTTTCCTTAGGCATTTCATTGGTGCTTAAATCATTAGTGAACTTGAATTCTGATAGTAGAGTTTATTGCCTTTATTTAGTATTTTATCAAAATATAAACAGATTAAAGTTTTTTGCAGATACTTGTAATAGTTTTTTTTTAATAGAAGTCTTGTAAGATAGAGCTTCGATGGTAAACTTAAGTTAATATTCCGGTTGAAATCTTGTTAGGGCTCTCAAAGCCAACAAGAACTGATTTTTTGAATCGATGCAATGACAAATATGTTCATCGGCTATTTGATTTTACAATTACCCACGAGTAGTTTCGCCAAACTGTTTTCATACAATTGTTCGGTCGTAAAAATATTTTGGCCATTTTTCAATTATCGAAAACTAAATACCGAAAACTGAGCACTGATCACAGCAGAAAACTTGCATTCATTAGTACTACCATCATAACTAAAGATTTTTTCCGTGCATTTGTTCTCAAAATATCAGTTTCAATAGTGGGATAAAAACCAAAAAATAATTGCTTTTCTTGTTAATTGCTTTTAATTGAGAGATTGGATCAGAATTTTTTCACTCAAATGAACGAAGATGTTTAAATCTTAGACGTCATTCTATAGCCGACTGACAAAGCCAATCTCACAAACTCTTCATTGATATTGAAAAATCTTTCTGCGTTGTTTCTCTTTTCTTGCGTTGTTTCTCTTAGACTGACTTTTTTATCATAGTACTATTGCTTCGTAATAGTCCATCGATGAATGTGCACTAATGATTACGTCTTTTTTCTCAATTCGGTTAGTTCAAATATGAAAGGCAAAAAAGACACAAGTCATATTCAAGACTAAGAATTTTTTTAGAAGACCAGCTTTTTAGGGCAAACGTTAACAAACATTTTTTATCAAAATTGAAATAATTTCCGTCAGACAAACAAGTTATTTGATTGAAGCTAAAATTAAAAAAAATGCTGCAAAAAAGTTTAGTGCTACCATGTCATTGGAAAAAATATTCCAGCCACGATGTTTTTGGGTGCTTGATTTCAAGCTGTCTATGATGATTGATAATAAATCGCCTTTACTGATAGCCTTTATTAACAACCTTTTTTTGCAATCAAATCATGAAAAACGTAAGAAAAAAGAATGATCAACCTATACTGAGCAAAGAACAACCGTCTGGTGGTAGGTTCTTCATTGAACACCCCTAATCCAAAAATAAGCAACGGATAAAAATCAAGTGGTAAGAAAACAAATGTCTGAAAAACTTTTCTTCCTTTCCCGATGGTGGTATGCATAAAAAGCAAAAGTGCTCTTGAAAGGTTCTGCTGTCTAAAGTTTTTGTAAAATTTAAAATATCAATATCAAAATTTTATTACAGAAAACAAACAATCAAGCACCTCTTTATGCACGTCCGATGAAGGTACGCCAATTTTTTTGTCGTTTTTCTTTCAAATCCAAATGCACAAAAACTTTCGAAAAGTTCGATATACGTCGAGCTAATTCAACTTTTATCAAATCTTCTTTCCAAAACTTCCCATCTCTTTTTTTCAAGAGAACCATGTCATAACAAAAAACTTTCTGGTTTTTCTAGTTCGGTTTTATCTCATCAAAGTTATCTCAGAGCGTGTCAAGCTTCTAGTTTTGTATGATTTTTGAAACTGCAAAAAACTGTGATTTCTATAAATATACTTTGATGAAAATTTTGCTAGCAATTTTTTTCTGTTTTGATTTTTTTGAGATATCGATAAATTTTTTTTTCAAAACCTTAAAGTATTGATTTATACTTTAATCAATATAAAAATTTTTTGGCGTAGCAATATCAAAATTTTATTACAGAAAACAAACAAGCAAGCACCTCTTTATGCACGTCTGATAAAGGTACGCCAATTTTTTTGTCGTTTTTCTTTCAAATCCAAATTCACAAAAACTTTCGAAAAGTTCGATCTACGTCGAGCTAATTCAACTTTTATCAAATCTTCTTTCCAAAACTTCCCATCTCTTTTTTTCAAAAGAACCATGTCATAACAAAAAACTTTCTGGTTTTTCTGGTTCGGTTTTATCTCATCAAAATTATCTCAGAGCGTGTCAAGCTTCTAGTTTTGTATGATTTTTGAAACTGCAAAAAACTGTGATTCTATAAATTTACTTTGATGAAAATTTTGCTAGCAATATTTTTCTGTTATGATTTTTTTGAGATATCGATAAGTTTTTTTTTCAGTAGAAATGTTTTTTTTATTACATCAGTATGAATTTTTGAAGTCTTTTTCTTTGCATGGATATATTTGATATATTCGCTTGTTTCTTTCATAGCCCGACAAAAAAGTACTAAAAAAAATCGTCAAAAGATTTTTAAAAATGTTCTAAAAAAATCAAGAATAAGTTAGACAAATAACGCATATATGATGTATTCGTAATAATATTTTCATAAAAATAACCATAAAAAATGGTTTCCAAATTTATCCAACCTTTCATCACTTTTTATTTATTCCTTTTTCCAAATGCAGATCATTTTGGTATATCATCATTAGACAGAAAAAGTTTTTTTCAGGCCTCTAGCGTTTTAAACTTTAGTATAACCAATCCCAATTTTTGAATCATCTTTTTTTAACAGAATTTTAATTTTCCACTCCGATTTGTATGATGATTTACACAATTCTGATTATACTTTTTTCTTTAGATGTCATTGGGCTGAATAAAGTATTACAAATATAAACAACAAATTCAAAAAATTATATCCCGTACTGAAACTTTTAGTTAAATTCAAATCTGGACATCGAAAATTCATAAAACTTTCAGATCTGTATCAGTCCTGTAGCATGTCTCTTTTTTCGCTGTACATTTGTGAATCAGTGATGTACAGATATGATAAATATGAAAAAGTCAGGTATGATCAGTCTGCTTCAGGTCTGGCCCAGGTATGATCAGGCCTGTCCGAGTTATATTTCTGATCTGCTTTTGCATGATCATACCTGGATCGGACATGATCATAATTGAACCAGACATGATCATGCCTGGACCAGAAAAGATCATACCTGACTTTACATGATCATACTTGAAGCAGACATGATCATACCTGACTTTACATGATCACACCTGGACCAGACTTAATCATGCCTGAAATTGCGTGATAAGAACTGAAGCAGTCATATCATTATGGTAGTGTAAGACCACGACAACCCATGAGTCAACCGAAACAAGCTTTGATGTTAACTCGAGAAGCAAAAATCAGTTTATTATTGGTGCCATGCAATCCCCAGCATTCCAGATATTAAGCTGACATGAACAGATACTACACATGATCTTAGCCAAAAGGCCGAGAAGCGATAACTGAAACAAAGGATCTTTTTTCTACATGCCTCAGACACAACAAAAAAACAACAGCTCGGACCATACAACTTTTAAACTATCCGATTGGATTGGGAGCTAGGTCGCTCCCGAAACAATTCATACAATATCAAGGTAAATAGTTAAAAATAGGCCGTCATTATGATTCTTTGCCTTATCAAAATACCCTGCCGGCTTGTAATTTTTATCGTAAGACTACAGTGGACTACATTATAACCATCTGTGTTTCTGCCGTTACATGGCGCTAAGTTTTCTACATGATCCGGTATAGTCAAGTCTGACCAGGTATAGTCATGTCTGACCAGGTATAGTCATGTCTGACCAGGTATAGTAATGTCTGACCAGGTATAGTCATGTCTGTTCAGGTATAGTCATGTCTGACTCAGGTATAGTCTGCAAATGGCAGAAGTGATCACATGTGAAAGAGATATGCACAGAGCTGGAAACAGCTAGTGTCTGACAATTGTATGATCAGACGTGAAATTGTGAGAAAAGTTCGGTACGGGATACATGATGTATAGTATATTCTTATATAACTACAATTAAGGTTTTAGTGTAATATAATATTACGAACCAAGCAAAAAACGAGGCATAGCTTGGATTTTAATTGAAATTTGGTAAATTAGTTCATCATTACCTAAAATGTAATTATCTAAAAATATGTGGTTGAACCTTGTCAACTCAGTATGACTAGCGTTTTGTAAGAAACTTGGAAAATCTGACAATTTTCAGGTATTTGTGCTAACAAAAGTCATTGCCTTATTGTGTATTTGTTTGGGAACGTTTTGGGGCTTTACAAATGATTGACTTATACTCCATTAACCAAATCAGAATGTTTGATGCTCGTTACATCTTTGAATCAGCGCTGCCTTTTCTTTTGAAAATATTTTGATTATTCGGTTAAACATCATTTGAAATTTTTATTTGATTTTTGATATCAGAAATGTTAAAATATGAAAGTCACATTGTTATTCTGTTTCCTGTAATCCAAAGCTACTACTGTCTTTGAAGTGCAGAAAAATTTGCATCGCTTGCTATGAACAGAGTACCGTTTTCAAAGCATGTTCTCGGGCGTTATACATATATTTTTCTAATCAATTTTAATTTTCGGTCATTTGACAGGTAAGAAAAACTTAGTCCCTCAATTGATATCATTTGGTTCTAATTTTTGGAGCAAAAAACGGTTTGGCTGATTTATTTCTAGGTAAAAAACGCATATATGATTAAACGTTGAGTTACGAATTTATAAGGGTGGCAATTCATTACTAGGTAACAAAGGGGGATGCGGATAGTTAAAGAGATCCGTTTGACCTCATATGCAACCATGCAATAATCCCATGTGAACCCCTGAAAAACAATAATTCTTCGTAAAAAGTGAGCCATAGGGCGGATTTCGGAGGGTGCAAGGGGCGGACGCCTGCCCTCGGAGATTCCGGGATTCGACCGCCTGCCGACCCAAAGGGTCCCCCCTTGGTACTTTTTAAGAAATCCAACCCTTAAGTTTTTCAAAAGGCGCCTTCGGCGACAATATATATTTATTTTGAGGGGAGCGCACGCCTACAAAAACGCGGTTTTTCTGTCAAAATATTCCAAAAAGTGGGCAAAACGGTTTTTTCTACCTGTTTCGTTTTCATAAGTTTGCCTGTGGTGCAATAAAATTGTCCAAATAGGGTCTTTATAGTGTTTTGGGAGCGCTTGCAAACTCAATTTGGTCAACCTAAAAGAAACATCGACATAATTTTTATTTTTTTCCTTTCAAAATCCGCTCCCCCTTCGAGAAAATCCTAGATCCATCCCCTCTTGTCTGTTAACATGAATGAACAATAATAATTAATATATCACCAGATATTATGACCGTTTATTATTTTCATAAATTCTACAACTTTTTTGTCAATTGCGCCAGATTGGAGAGATATATGGGGAGAGTTTGGGTTTGAGTAAGCATTGGGAATTGAATGTGGTATTGTAATAATAATCAAAGGTATCACATTACCTTGATTCCAAGTTGATTTCTCCATTAAATAAAGTTGTCGGCCTCAGTGTCAAGAAAGATTGATCTGGATTTTATGCATTTCGTTAAGACTATCACTAGGAAACGCGGAATATTTTGAGTCAAGTTGTCACTAATAAGTCATCACAACTGGCAGTAATTGTAGCTGTTTTGCATTAAGGCCACCAGGCTAGTACCAGGGGCGGATCTAGGATTTTCTCGAGGGGGGGGGCGGATTTTCAAAAATTTTCAAAAATTTTGCCGACCTTTTTTTAGGTCGACCGAGTTGATTTTCCGAGCACTCCCAAAGCACTAAAAAGACCCTGTTTTGGACAAATTCTCTATGCTGCAGGCAAAACTTTGAAAAACAGGCCAAAAAGGCGTTTTTTAGGCACTTTTTAAAGTAAGTCTCCCCCCTTAAAATAAGTATACATTGGCGCCAAAGGCGCCTTTAGAAAATTTTTAGTGTCCGTCACCAAATATGGATATCTCAAAATGGTATAAAGGGAGGACCCTTTGGGTCGGCAGGGGGTCGAATCACTGATAGGGGAAGCGTCCGCCGACCCCCGCCCTTCCCTCCCCCCTAAATCTGCCCCTGGCTTGTACAAAAAACGCCAATTTAATGCCTTAGTCAAATTAAAGATGCAGAGCGTAGATAATTTCAACCAATTTCAACCAAATTTTCATTTAAGGGAGAATTTGAGCCGTTTCGTTTTTACAAATTTCTGTGAACAGGAACACCAATAACCAATCTGCTAAAAATTGCACTAATTTGTTGTCTCTTGGTTAAAAAAGAGCTCATTCAACCCGTTTTCTTAACATTTGGCGACTTATAAGCGACAAAATAAGTGAGAAATAAGTATCAAACCTAACAGCCGTTATTTTTGTTCCTAAATCATAACAAGTTTGCTCGTATCAGGGCGAAGCCCTGAATGTTCCAACTAGAATTGAGGTCTATGGAGCAATAATAACATTTAAAAATTATATGTAATAAAAATGATTTTTTTAAAACTTTTTGTAAAAAGCATCCCCCACACGCCATATAAAAATCAAAAGGATAAATTTTGCACCTAGTAACAGTTCAATTATGGCAAATAAGCTTCGTTTAACCAATTTGGAACGATTTCTAAGACGGATTAAATCTCCGCTTATGCGTTAATAGCGCGAAATATATCGCGCGTTAATTGTCCCAAAATGGCCAAAATGACATTTTTAAACCCCCATAATTTTAAGAAAAATAATCACAGGTGAAAGATTTTTTCAAATTTAGGCTCAGGACAACAAAACTTTTTGATTGATTTTTTAAAATTCTGCCAAAAATGGCTAGTTAAAAAGTCGAAATTGTCTGAAGAAAAAAAAACCCATCCGAGCACAAATATTCCGTTACTTTCGTTACAAAAGTCGGAACAATAACTACGGCAAAATGCTGGCGGAAATTGAAGCATGCGTATTTCAATTTTTTTTTGGTTAAAAAAGTGCTCACGGTATGGACCTCTAAATACCGCGAACACTAGTCAAAACTTTCATACAATTTGTGTTTGAAATAACGCTGGTCATAACTGTATTAGAATCAACGCATACATTTTTTTATGATTCATGTACGGATCATAGTTTCTGATCTTATAATTTGACATTTACGAAAAAACCCCGAATGAGACCGATGTTCAGAAGGGCTAATTTCTAATTTAAGGGAAAATATGAGCCGTATCATTGTGACAAGTTTCTGTGAACAGCAACACCAATAACAAGTCTGCTAAAATTTGCACTATTTTGTTGTCTCATGATCAAAACTGAGCTCATTCAACCCGTTTTCTGAACATTTAGAAATTCACAAGAGACAAAATAAGTGAGAAATAATTTTCAAACAGAGCAGCCGTTATTTCTGTTCCTAAATTATAACAAGTTTGCTCGTATCAAGTCAAAGCCCTGAATGTTCCGACTGCTTTTAAGATCTATGGAGCAGTAATAACATATAAAAATTATATGTAATAAAATGATTTTTTAAATTTTTTTGAGAAAACCATCCCATATAAACGCCATTTAAAAATAAAAGTGATAAATTTTGCAGCTAGTTTACAGTTCAATTATGGCAAATAAGCTTTGTTTAACCAATTTGGATCAATTTCTAAGAGGTAATAACTCTCCACGAGAGTACCACGAATAATTATCTAACAGAGCAGCCAAGATTTATGTTCCTAAACCGTAACAACTACGGCAAAACGGTGACGGAAAATGAAGCATGCATATTTCAATTTGTTTTTTTTTTCGGTACGAAAATGTTCACAGTTTTTGACCTCTAAAATTCGAAAAAACTAGTCAAAATTTTCATACAACTTGTGTTTGAAAAAACGCTAGTGATAACTGAATTAGAATCAACGCATACTTTTTTATCAATAAGGTACGGATCATTCTTTTTCATCTCCTTAATTTGTTTCAAAGCTTTTAAAACTAATTAAAATTCTCCTAAAGGCTCAGTTTATATGAAAACACAAGTCAGTGTTACTGAAATTATGTTTTGGATTATTTCAAGACTTTTTTTTGGTACATGAAAAAAAAAGAAGATTTTTTTCTTAAATTTGAAAGTTCTAATCAACTTTTTCTATAATTGTCCGCAACGTTCTCTTCTGATGGTTGAAACAATAATTTTATAGAGCGTCCACTTTCTCTTGAAACTGCCTAGAGTGGAGTAAGATTGCAAACTAATTGAAAAAAAGTGTTTATTTTCTTCTAATCAATTTCCAATTTTAGGTACATTCTCAAACAAATTAGTGCTTTGAGACTAATTTTAAAGGAACAGTTCACCTGTGATCAATATTTTTTTGCAGGAATTCGAGGGATCAAGCTAACATCTTTCCCCCCTCACTCAGCCAAGTTAAAATCTTCCTTCCCAATATTTTAATTGAAATAGAATGGCTCAGCGCTGCGGAATAACACTCGAATTTGATTGGCCAAAACTCCAGCTTAGAACCAAGTTAAGCTCCATGCCCCTA